CTAGAATGAGAAGAATAATGTAGAATACCTTCTAAAATTACAAGAATATAATAAAATAATTCTACAACTACAAATAATTGCAAGAATTGCTCTCATAATTCCATACTTTGTGTCCCAGCCCCTCTCCTGGGCCAGCTGCGAACTTGTGCAATGTGCCACGGCACGGCGTGCCCCTGAGGGTCAAATACTGTCACCCAGGCAGGTCCTTGGGACCCGTAGGAGGAGGGGGGCTCTACCCACCACGGCTCCACTTTGCGCTTGCAGAAATTGCACCAGTTTTCCTTCACAGAGCTTTACAGCCATCCCCGAGCTGAGTTTGGGGTTGGTGGCAGCCTGCAGCCCCGGCGCTGGTTTCCATGAGGCCCCGGACCCGGCCCGGCTGCGGAGCGAACGGCATCCCCCCAGCCGTACCTAGCAGGAATTTCTGACTGTCTCTGTCCGCCTGCAGCAGCGGCCCCGTGTTTCACAACCACCTTATCCCAGACTGCAGCACTGCCCCGGCTTTTGCTACGTTTATGGGGGTCTCCGCTGCACCCCATCCCTTATAGCACTAAAACGCTGTTTTCAGGCGGCTGCTACCACCTTCTCCTCCCACGCAGGGTGGTACCGATACATCCAGGTGTATTTTCTGTCTGGGTTAACATCAGTAGTCATTTCCATAATTTTCAGTATTTCTTGCCCCAAGAAGGCAGCCTTCATAGAGCCAGATTTATTATCTTCCACAGCCGTGAGTAAAACTCTGGCAACTGAAGCACCGTCCCCTGGGGATAACAGAGTTTCCCTGTCACACAGGCAGCACACGGATAAACACACCAAAGATCGCAAAGCACTCGGATAACGCCAAGTGGCATCAGGACAGCAAAATCACGGCAATTAAAGAATGATCCAATCTGCCAGTAGCCTGGCTTGCAGCAGCATTCAGGAGTATCAAATTGAGATCTGCTGTCAAGGCTTTTTCCCTGAGACGAGACGGGCAAGTACAGGTTTCAATTGCATTTAAAAGCATCTCACGTTAGACAGCATCCTCAAATTCCAGGTGAGAGACATCGGTCGCTTTAATCCGATGAGACCAAGCTCTGCAGTGCAACATCCGAGGCAAACACCAAATTTCTCGGGCACAACGTTATCAGAAGGGACCAGAGCGATGCTTCTATGTTTAGGACACATCTTTAATCACAATTTCACAGCTTGACCTTTGCTGACCACAGCTGAGCTTTGTGTAACTCAGCAAGTTTCTCCTAATCACCCAGGCACAACTGGGGGTTTTCAAGCGAGACACTAAAAAAGAGCACTCCTTAAAAGAGAGAGGCTGGGCTCTGCAACAAAGTTGGTTTGATTCAATCGGATCACATTGCTAGAAATAGGAAACACCACGTAAATGGCCTTACAGAGTTCCCCACAAGTACGATAAATGAGGTAGAATAGTTTGTTATGAGAACAATTTTTGCCTGGTCGCAATTTCTCTATGAAAAGCCCTAGATGCAGCAGTTGAGTGGCGCACACTCGTGCGCTTGCAATATCAAGACAAAAGAACTGTGCTTGTCTTTTGCCATCTACAGCCGCATCCACCCCTGCCAGTCGGCCTTGTCCCCAAATGAGCCCAGCAATGAGAAGCGAGCTGAAGGAGATCTCAGAGACACCACAGTTGTCTCGCTGGCGGGGAAGGCAAATGCTGGAGAAGATGCTCCCAGTTCAGGAAAGACCAGGAACTACTGGAGAGAGTCCAGCGGAGGGCAACAACGATGATGAGGGGACTGGAGCATCTCCCTGATGAGGAAAGGCTGAGGGCACTGGGGCTGTTCAGCCTGGAGAAGAGCAGGCTGAGAGGGGATCTCATCAATGCTTGTAAATACCTTAAGGGTGGGTGTCAAGAGGATGGGGCCAGACTCTTTTCAGTGGTGCCCAGCGACAGGTTAAGGGGCAACGGGCACAAACTGAAACTCA